GTCCCCACATCTCAGGAGCCTCATGGCAACTCCTCTGTCCTGACTTGGGCAGCACATGATGGCCTGACACTGACACCATGTGCCGTCCTCATCCCTGGACTGCACTGGGACAAACTGAGGCTCGGGGTTAAAGTCACCCCTGGGGCCACAGCCAGGTACAAGCCAGGCCAGAGAGCAAAGGCACAACCCAGGCACTGGGTCAGCAAGAGCTACAAATGCCGGTCCCATCTCCTGCTGGCCCTCCCTGTCCTCCACCACACACGGGGTTGGGATGGAGGTGCTCGCTCTGGGCTGCTCTGGGTGCGTGCGTGTGTCATTCATAGGCTCTGCCTACCAACACCATGAAGAACTAGCCGGAACGCAGCTTCCTCTGTGCGCCCAGCCTGCTGCCAAACGGTCTGCGCTCAGCAAGCAGCCCCGCCCTGTTCCTGAGGCCCCGCCCCATCCCTCTGAGGCCCCGCCCCATTCATCTAAGCCCATCCTCTGAGCCCCCCATCCCTGAGCCCTGCCCCAACTTCTGAGAATGGGGCCCCGCCCCATTCTTCTGAGGCCCTGCCCCCCACAGTGACCCCGCTGCATCCTTGAGGCCCCGCCCCCACCCTGAGGCCCCGCCCTCCTCACCTGTACACGTAGGGCCCACGCTCCTGCACCTCCGGCTTCTCGCCCTTCAGTATCTCCTCGGGGTTGAGCACCTCGAAGAAGTAGATAGACAGGTAGAAGGGCACGGGGATCTCCTTCCACATGCTGAAGGACAGGCTGCTGGGGTCGATGCGCACGTTCTGTGGATGGGAAGGCGGCCGATCAGGAGGGTCCTGCATGGGCAGGAGGGGCTGGAGCAGCCACGCGGCGGCCGGACCCTACCACGGTCTGGGGGCTGCAGAGGGGCCAGGGGCTGCAGGGGTGGACACTGGCAGGAGAAGGTGGTGGGGCTGCACCTGGCCCAGCACCTCCTCCACTCACGACTAGGAGCTGGGGTGGGCCCGCAAGCTAGGCAGCCCCTCCCCAGCCAGCAAGGCAGGCATTGACCCCTGGGCCAGAGAGGTGCTATGATGGAGCCCAGTGAAAGCACGGGGAGGGGAGAGGGTGGGACTCCAGACAGTCACCAGGGACTGAAATGTACAAATCCACAAGCCCAATCCCAAATAAGAACCAAGGTAGTGGGGGACAGGAACCCAGGGGTGAGTGTGCTCCAGCAACAACAGCCGGTGGAAAGCTCTGAGACAGGAGCCAGTATTTGAGGGGAGAAGGCAGGAGGTGAGAGCAGAGAAGTCCATGAAAAGCCCAAAATATGGAAGTTTTTATGAAAAACTGATTCCTGATGCTTGGCAAAAATACCAAATTGTCCTAAAGGGCCGAAGGAAAGAGGCCAGCAGTGCACCTGGCCTGTAATCTCTATCTCTGCCCAGCAGCAGGCCTATCAGATGCAGCCCAATGTGTCACAAAGCCAGGCAGCCAGGGCAGCTTGCGTCACCTCCCACAGTCTTTGAACACAGCCTTCCAGGACAAGGACATCTGCTCCCACAGTCCCCAACCCTAATCCACAGGCAAAGGCCCCGAGGAGGCAGAAGGCCAGAGCCCGCAGTCCAGACCCGGTCACATGTCCCCTGGAGGAAGTGGAGCGTGGGTCTGAATCTCCTTCTGTACAGCAGGGCCGAGACACCATGGCCATAGCTCCGCTAGTGGGCCTCTGCGGCACGTGGGTGATGATGGCTCCCTCCACTGCCATGAAGTGTAGCCTGGAGGGCTCTCCTGAGAAGACCAGGATCCTCTAAGTGCCCATTGCTAACCATGTCTGCCCCCTGTGCTATCGCCTGCAGGGCTGCCCCCAACAAACTGAGCATCCAGTGCCCAGGGACACTCAGGGTCGGGGAGTGCTGGGCACTGACAACAGCAAGAACCCCCCTGGGGGTCCTGTGCCAGGCCACTGCGCTCCCCCCTGCACCTCCCCCTGGCATGGCTGGTGGAACTACCCACTGTGGCCCAGAGAAGCAGCCCAGGCAGGGACTCAGCCTCCCAGGAGGTCCCAGTCCCACCTGCCCACAGCCACACGAGGGGACCCTGCATCATCCTCCCACTTCATGCCCCCTCTGCAGGGGCCCTGGGCAGTGGAAACCCTTCAGCCCCAGGCCCTGTGCTAAATCAGTCACTGGACAGTGCCCAGCTCCTCAGACACACCGAGCCATCCCAGTGTCCACTTCCAACAGCAGAACAGCATGACCATGACCTCTAGCTCCCTAGAGCGGCTTGAAAAGACAGAGAGAGCCCAGGGCCCTGGAGGAGTCCTCACGAGCACAGGTCACAATCCCGTGTCTGCAGCAATGAAGGACAGAGGGGGTCTGGGAGTGGGGACGTGCTTGGTGCCGTGATGTGCTGGCGGGCGTGCCTGTGACACGTTGGATACGCTCAACACACGCGCCTTCTGTGTCAGTGACCCCTCGATAAAGCCATTTGAAAACCAGGTGCACCAGCCCCCCACCCACCTCCTCCCCAGCCTAGCTTCTTGAGGAGGCTGAGAAGCCTTGAGCACCCCGGGGTCCCAGCTTGCCTGATCCCTGGGCCTGCTCAAACTGGTCCTGGGGACAACAGGCTGAAACAAGAAGTCACCAGATAGCCACTGGTCCATCTCTCCCACAGAAGGGGCTCCGGGGCCCCAGCCCACTCACTTGGCACTTCCTGCAGGCAGGGTACAGGCCCGGCTCACCCCTCTGACTTGGTGGCCGTGAGCAAGTCACCAGCCCTCTCTGTTTCCTCACCCCTACGACGGGTGTAAGGTCACCATCCACCCGTGGGCTGCTGTGGGTGTGGACGAGTCTGTGCAGGTAAAGTGCCCAGGAGAGGGTCCACCGAGCCCCCGGCACCCAGAAGGTGAGCCCCATTGTCCCCTGGCCTGAGGTAACCCCTCTGCACACCGGCACTCTGGGTTGGGTGAGGACTTTGCCCTGCTTCTGACCAGCAGGATGCTCTCCCCTCAGTCACAGTGAACCAGGGACACCGGGGCCAGGCAGCTGATTAGATAGCAGTTTGAGGAGCACAGGCATGGGCTCTTGCCAAACAGGGCTGGTTCTGCGGTACTGTCCTGGTCCCCCCCTCCCCAGGCCAAAGATCACCTCCCTGGAGATGGGAGAGAATGGCAGGCACGTCCTGATGGATGCCACGCCCTCCCTCCAACCCAACAGGCCCTCAAGTCCTCTGCAGAGAGAAGGCAGAAAGGCTGTGGGGAGGAAGGGACACCTGGGCTGGGTATTAAAACACAAGTCAGGCTTTGCCAGCTAGCGTGGGAGGGAGTCCCCAGCAAAGGACACAGCCCGGGCAAAGCCTGAGTCGCCTCTGACACAGAACCGTCCTAAATGTCCCTCAGTGACAGTATGTATTTAAAATGATGATGTATGGAAGTGACCCAAATACCCGTCAGCAGACAAACCACCACACCCCGAGACCACAGAACCCACCCAGCAATAAAAAGGATCCAACTACCAGCGCGTGCCACAACATGGTGAGCCCCCAACGCATTACCCCAAGTGAGAAGAGACCAGATGCAAAAACCACACACTCTGTGTTCGTCTGACATTCTGGAAAACAGAAAAAAAAAAAACAGAGAGACAGACACCAGACCAGTGGTTGCCAGGGGCCAGGACTGCACACAGGCACTGGGAGATGGAATGTTCTAGATCTTGATTGTGGAGGCCACACAGGTGAGGTACACACCTGAGATAAAACTTGGTCAAGCCGGGCGCTGGTGGTGCACGCCTGTAATCCCAAGTCTGTGCCGGGTAAAGTGCAATCCCAGTGGCTTGGGAGGCTGAGGCAGGAGGATCATGAGTTCAAAGCCGGCCTCAGCAACTTAGTGAGGCTCTAAGCAACTTAGTGAGACCCCATCTCTAAATAAAATATAAAGGGGCTGGGGGTGTGGCTCAGTGGTGAGTGCCTCTGGGTTCAATCCCCAGCACCAAGGGAAAAAGAATCAAATTGTCCCCTGAGAAGGACAAACGTGAAAGATGAGGCTTGAAAACGTGACGCTGGTGTTTTTTAACGGCTTTATTAGGATCTGTGCCGTGTCCCCCGCCCACGTGGAGTGCAGCCTTCACCACTGCCTACTTCCAGAACATTCTCTCCTCTCCGTCCCCAGCAGGAGTCACTCCCCAGTCCCTCCAGCCCCTGGCCCCGACGAGTCCACTTCCTGTTTGAGATCTGCTGATCCAAGTCTCCGCATGAAGTCTCCACATGTGTCAAAAATGTTCTGCTTCTGAAGCCAGCAGAGACCCGAGGGCCCCACACAGCTCCTCGCAGCACACTCTGCTCTGCGTCAGCTTGATGTCCCCACGTGCATCTTTCCTGCTTCCTCTCCTTCTGGCAACCAGGGCGCCACAGTGACCCAGCTGTCCACCCACCCACTTGCTTCCTCAGTTTGGAGCTTTTCTGAATAAAGCAGCCCTAAGTTCACCGAGCTGCACACTCAACATGTGGGAGCCGCGTCTGACAGTGCCATACCTGAGTGCACTGCTGTCCCTGGCACACCCACGACCTGCCGTGTCCAGAACACTGGGGGTAAAAGCAAAGGGCAGGTGTCATCGCGGTCACATCACGTGAAAAGAAGGTGACACCAAGGCAGTGGGCGAGGACCGAGGCCCAGCACAGACGGACAGAGAGGCCCAGTAAGAATCGCCCTGGGTTTTGGGCGCAGAGGCCACACCTGAGATCCCCGGGACTCAGCAGGAGGAGGTGGAGGGTTGCAAGTTCAAGGCCAACCTGAGCAGCTATGGAGACTCTGTCTCAAAACAAGGATTGAAAAAAGAGAGTGGCCGTCTGGGTGTGGGGAGCGGTGAGAGGGCTCTTCAGGAGCCAACCCCATTTCCTGGTCTGGATGCTGGTCACCAGAGCTGTGTGCTGTGTGGAAAGCTGACGGCGCCGTGTCCTTGGGATAAGTGTGGCCTTCCATGTCCAGGCCACGCCTTGCAAGATAGGCCAGGAACCATAATGTGATCTTTGTAAATAGAAAAGACCTACTACGGACAGGCAAGGACCCAGCAGATGATTCTGCACAGATGACACAAGCGGCCAGGGAGCCCCTGCAAGGTGCCCGCAGAGACGCAGATCAGGGTCCCAGAGAGGCCACTTCCCACCCACAGGATGGAATCGGTTTTTAAAAACTGGGAAGGAAGGAGGATGGGCGAGGCCGGGCAGATGGGAACCCGGCCTCCTGCGGGATGCTGCCGAGGACGCCAGGGCCGGCAGAGCTTGCCACCAGGGCACCAGACTGCCACATTCCCCGCCACCCCCAGGAGGGCCCTGGAAAGAACTGAAGACCCTGCCCTCTCATGACCACGCTCACCAAGGTCCCCCCAGCTCTGCTCGCAGTAGCCAAAAGGGACAACTCAGATGTCCAGAGAGCAAAGGAGAGGAGAATCAAGATGCGTCCCCGAGGATCCAGGCACAGACAAGGACACCCACCGCCCCGAGACCAGCCCTGGACGCACGGTGCTCAGACAGCCACAGACGGGCCACTCTGCCTGATCCTGCTGGAGGAACGGCCCCAACAGGCAAGTTCTCAGAGACAGAAAGCAGATGGGCTGGCTGGGCCGGGAGCAGGGGAGGGTGGGGACAAGGTGGCTGTGAAGGCTGAGGGGCAGGCTGCAGCACGCACACAGGTGGCACTTAACGTCGGGCGGAAACTACCAGTGGGCTCCCGCCATTCCGGCCACTCCAAGACCCACCCCGGCTCTCCACGCCAAACACCACCCTCTCCAGCCAGCCTCTGCCTTCCTGCTGTGTCCCGGAGCCAAGCCCCAGTCCCCAGGGGCCACCTCCTGAATAAAGCCCCCAAGGACCCTGCTCT